TAATGAAAATATTGGAAATTAAAAAAAAAAAAATTGCCGTAGTATAATGTGATATAGCATAACATGCGAGATTGGAATAAAAAAATTTTTCCAATGTACTGAGGGAGCGAAAGGAGAACCGGAACATTGTAATGGGACACTGGTATTGTATCACTGTAAGGTACACAGGTATACAGTAGTTATGTAATGTCTATGACATGATGCCTGGTTGGACGAGTTTCAAATGAGGGCAGTAATGGAAAAAGGAAGTACAGTTTTAAACAAAGATGATGTGGTGTAAAGGTTGCGGGACATTTGACGTTACAATTATAGAGCACACAACAAAGGAACACACGCTATGACCAATCTGTCCATGTTTTTGCCGCCGTAATAACATGAAAGTGCCTTGTTTAAATTCAAATTACCTGGCTTATTTTTAGACACGATTTGACATTAATGTCTTCTTCCAGGTCTTGCCTGATAGAACGTAAGGTCACTTTTGCACTTCATCCCATTAAAAGGAGAACAGAACACGACTCTAACTTCGAAAGGACGATACTGTAAATGTCAGCAGTCAACGTGCGAATGAAACGTCTGGTCACATGTCTGTTTCCTAATCAAACCAGGAGAACTGCCTTGCTCGATGACTAAAATTAGAATTAGCTCTACAACCCCAGTGACCCTGACATTAATTCAAAGAAGTTAGAGGACAAACAAAAACATGGATGGAGACTATTTTTTTATACAAACAATGTTATCGGAAAATGGTCGCTTTTGTATTGTCGGGACCAACTAGATTACCGTGTTTTCCGGACTATAAGTCGCTCTGTAGTATAAGTCACACCAGCCAAGTGAAAATAACATACGTGTAGATTTTCAATGGTACAGGAATAGCAGACACTGGTACATAAACCTAGAGTGCCCTCTAGTGGCTGTCAGTGTGGAAATAACGAACATGTACATTTTCAGTGGTACAGGAATAGCAGACACTGGTACATAAACCTAGAGTGCCCTCTAGTGGCTGTCAGTGTGAAAATAACACTCGTGTACATTTTCAATGGTACAGGAGCATCAGATACTGGTACACAAGTCTAGAGTGCCCTTACTTATAGTCCAGAAAATATGGTACTCACAAATATCACATGGGGATAACAAGCAGACTCTAAAGTAAAACCTGTGATCTTCTAGCTAGTTATAGTGTAACATGATATATTTAGGATATTTACACAGAAAGACCTTTAATTAAATAAATGGTTTTTTTTCTGAACAGTGCCTGTAACACGGCTGGTCACTACCGTAGTTGGAATGAGACTTAGTGATCTGCTCCAGGGCTAAAACTAACATTAGCTCCGGGGCTAGCGCCCTACACTTTGTGCTTGTCCGCAGCAGAGGTAAACAGAAACAGTGAAGTTGGGGTCTTTTATTATCAGCCACACCGAGCACAACGGAACATAAACAGAGTTTCAACAGCTCCTGTATAACCAACTCACACTTCGCACACAGCCATTCACAAAAAAAGTCACTGACCGCTAGCAGTATGAACTTCGTTAGCCCGTAAAAATCCATAATTTAACAGCTCACAGTATGATATCTAACTACGGTGAATTAATATGTCTCTTCTTGACCCTCCAATTAAGACATTAATGAGATGTTGTCTATGCATAAGAACCAAGATTTTAGACTTTTTTGAAGGTACAAATAACAAGGTGTTATGTTGTGCCACGAGGGGAAGCAGGCAGGACCCAAATGCTGCACTTGGGGGGACTCTTCAGGTGCAAAAGAACTTAAACTCACTGGAACAGGACCAGGCATAAACAACAGCATAGCAGACATGAATCAGGGATCAGGGAACAGGAACACAATCACATTTAACATCCATCCAACCAGGACAGCGTGAGGGAGAGAGCTGTAGTTACCTAGGGCGCCAGGTGAAATGAGTGAGACTACTGACAGAGACATAGATGAGTGTGATGACACTGATCAACAGCAGGTGGGAAGGGAGCCAGACATACCTCACTAACAAAAAAACCCGACTTTTTCAATTAAAAATAATTAAATAAAAACTCTTCCATGGATTACATCCATCCATCCATTTTCATCCGCTTATTCGTTATCGGATGGCGGGGCAGCAGTCTCCACGACCGCCACCCAAATCACATTGCACTGTACCTGTATATCGTGAACCTTCCTTGAATATATTTTTTCAGTTACAATAATATGACATCATCAGGAAAAAGCCCACAGCACACCACCAAACAAAAATCTCACAAAAAATATATGTAACGAAATAATAATATTCTAGTTTATATTTGCTAAAAATGTACCCGTTTAGTTAAAGATGACTCTAACATACTGGCAGGAATTAAAGAAAGACACTTGATGATATGATTATGTTTTTTTTTTGTTTAGTTTTCATAGCCATCTGCCTCACCTAGCAAAGAAAATTGAATTGTTTCTGCCTGTCACACATTGACGAACAAAAAAAAAAAAAAAAAGTTTTTGGACCAATTAATTGGAATTAGTTGAGAATAGACAGTGGGTGTCACTAATTTAGTCCCACTATTGGGAGTTTCAGGGTGAGGAAACATATGCCGTTTACAAGTTGTGCTTTTTTTAAAGTGAGATTATTAAGATTACCAGTTAATCAACACTTTTTTTTAAAGTGAGATTATTAAGATTAAGTTAATCAACACAGCTGATATTTTCTTGAAAAGATATAAATGAACCTTATGTTTCTGAGAAACCAAGCACATCCATCTGCAGGGAGACTCCTTAATGACTTTTATAGCCAACACAGGCAACAAGATCTCTCTTTCTCGACAGTACATACCCTTTTGGCCTCGTTTCCAATACTGTATTTCTCATATTTCACCCCCCTGGCCTTTCTCCTGAAGTAAACAGCAGGACCTAGAGGACGATATTAAATAGTCCAGAAGCAAGAAAAAAGAAAAAAAAAAGTAACTTTCTAACATTGACCATGAAAGGTCAAATTAGCACTGGCCAGGAATCTCAGGATCTCAGTCTTAACTGGACAAATGATTTACAGTTAAAAGGCATTAAAAAGTTCATTTAGTGAATTTAGCCTTTATCCTTCTTAGTAGGAGACTCAAGTGATTCATAAGTGCATAGGTCTGGCATCATAATTTATCTTTGCTCTGATCAGGTAATGCTTCAAAGAAGGATATCGATAGAGTTTGCATAAAAACACCACATGACTGAGGCATAATATAAGCCCATAAGTACCTCACCACATGACTGAGGCATAATATAAGCTCATAAGTACCTCTCAATGTTGCTCTCTTAAAGATAAATGTAACGGTGACAATGTTTTCCCATTTGCCATTTCCCAATATGTATATATAGTAAATTTATATATATACACACACACATACATATATAATCTGGTCAAATATTATATATAACAGTGGGCTCATAAGAAGCTGTCCATCCATCCATCCATCCATCCATTTTCATCCGCATCCATCCGCAGCAGTCGCCACCCAAATCACACTGCACCGTACCAACCCCCCTGAACCTTCCTGTGGGTGATGAGTCCCACTGGAAGGTACCAACCGCCCTAACCGGGATTCAAACTTGCCCAGGAGGTGAACCCTGGGGTTCCACACCAATGACAGAGACATTGCCTCTGGGCCAAAGCGCCACAACCCACTGTTAATAAAAGTGTTAAAAAAAAATTATATATTTTTTATATGTAATGTGTAGATTCGTTTTTTTTAAATAAACTTAACCATTGTAAAAGTAATTTCCAAGGAAAAACAATCTCCTCGAGAACACTGTGAAATGACAAGTTTCAATAATAACAATATTATAAAACTTTATTGTTCCCCCTCTGAAGATGAAGTAAAGCAAATTCCACATACATCTCAGGTTCACATAATTTAAAGTTATGGCACCATTATTTTCCAGATTATGACCAGAAACAAAAAAATCATATCGCTGTGGCCATGGTTTTTATTTATACAAATGATCAGGAAGTATGTGTCATAAGTAGAGACTATAAAATACCAATAACACAATATCAACATTCTCTAAATCCGAATCATCCAGGTTGTTTGAATGTGATTTGCTTAAAACAGTAATCTTAGCTCCAAGGTAAAATATACATTCCACTGACATGATTTCTGAGACCTGCATTGTCAAAACTACAGTCAACGACAAACCGCTGTTTCCCCCGAAGTTGCATGTGACAAAAAGTATTTAGTTAAAGGTGAATTACAGTTTTCCACAGCCAGTATTTTTGTGTCTTTGTCAGTGCGTTATTTAATCTTCTTCTTAACATATCTGCCATTTAATTTTTCCCTGCTTTCTGCTAAGTGCTAATACATTTCCATTCCATAGTGCTGCTCGGTAATGAAAGGGCTGTAGGAGATGAGGTCTCCTGCCTTTGCTTAAAGAAACATCAATGAACTCTCTTTACTGAGGAATCACTCCAGGGCCAAACCTTCCCACCAGTCCTTCCACTCACCCACAGTGCAGGTCAACAGTTTTGCGGTTTCAGTTTCAGTCGCACTCACAGTTCTCTCCTATCGTCCTATCATCGCGTTTGATTCAAGAGTCTGCCTCGCACGGAAGGCTTCCCATTTAATATTTCTGTCCAGTCCATGTGCTGCGTAAACACCTTCCATTACTTTAGGAGTATGAATGAAACGTTCTATATCAACAAGTCATCAAATTAAGTCACAGGGTCAAGTACACAGGTACAGAACAGTAAAACACGGGGTCGGGTGGTTTTCTATTATCTCACTGGGCTTACATGCTAGTCTTTGGGAGGGATCATGTCTTCAGATTACGTCTCACCCATCATTAAACCTTGCATTTGAGTTTTGAGGCAGACATTACTTTCTTCTCTTCTCATATTTTGCTGCTTAGATAAAAGAAACTCTCGAAAAAAAAAAAAAAAAAAATTCACCGGAAGGTTGAGAGGAAAATGCAGAGACGAGAATCTTTACAGAATAAATAAATAAAGAGATCTGTGCAGAATTTGCAAACTATTAAAATAAATAAAGAGATCTGTGCAGAATTGGCAAAACTAAATTAACCACTGATTTAAAAAGAAAATATCAAACACAGTCCGGACGGTATTTAGGTAAATTATCTACACAAATGTGCTGCAACTATTTGGATGCAACACTACAATGCTGAGCTCAAGGGAAGGATCTTAAGAGGTATAATCAAGGCTGACAGGCCTGGATAAGATCTTCAACTTGACGGCTAATGATCAAGGTAATAATAAGTCTACTTTAAGACAACTGGTTATTGGATTGTTGGAAATAGAACAATTCACAGCTTTACAAAGCCCTTTCCTATGACAGCTGGTAGGGCACATCACATATTGTTGAGGCATTTGAAGCAGTGGGTTGATAACACCTTGTAATGTTAATGACCAGAGAGCACAAAAAAAAAAAAAAATTAATACAACATGTCCGTTTATCATAATTACCTAATTCACTTGTGTTCACGTGTTAAAGAACAATACTCGCTCACATTGAAGTTGACCACAGTCGATACAATCTTTGTTATCCCTGCGTCACAGGGAAAAAAGAGCAGAATAGAAAACATAACCGACCATTACTAGGCTGGTAAAGAAACGGGTCAACTGGGCCTCCAGAGCCGGGGGGTGCAGGTAACTTCTTCCTGCAGAACTGTTCCTAATTCATTTCCAGTTCCAGTAAATGGCATTCAGTACTTTCAGTGCATTGAACAACTGGCAATTTGGAATGGGCGATTAGAAGAAGAAGAAGAAGGCACAGAGGGGTGCTTCAGAAGTGTCCATGCGAAGGGAAATTGTGCATCTATACAGTTTACTGACAACACTGTGAAACGGTTCAGTGCATCATGTGTAACAGTAATCTATATCTGGGATCCCTCCTTCTCTGTAGCCTCGGTTGGTTCCATGTCCTGCATTGGTAACCTGGTCAGCACCTTTGTAAAGCCCAGTGCCGTTTGAGGGGTATATGGTATGAATGATGTAATCCTCTCGTAGCGGTTTAGCCTGCATTGGCTGACAAGCTGCCATAGGTGTCATCTGGAACCCTGGGCCATGGATCTCCAAGATGGTATTGTCCTTTTTGGTGCCGGACTCGATGTAATCGTCGTAGGTCTTGCTTTTTCGAGAGCTGTTGCGGGTGTAGTGGTCACGGTTACACAAATGACCAGTTCTATGTGCATACCAACAGAAGATGCCAAAGATAAGAGCCAAAGACACAATGGCAGAAGCCCCACCAATAATCCCTGCCAACGGCAGCGTTGTCAAGTGCTGTGAATGTTCCTCGTTGTCTTCTTCTTCTAGTGAGCTGAGGTCGGACGTTTCAGCTTTTGCACAAACAAGAGCTTCTTCCGAATCAGCGTCTCCAGGAATTGCTCCTTTGCCTTCTGAGCTTGAAGAAAGGGGCACCATACAAATGATGTAGGTTGAGCGTGGTTGCAGTGAGGTAAGAAGATATTCACGACGGTCACCCCGGACCAGTGTCTCTGTAATTGAGCCCATGACATTTCCTGTGCTCATTCGGAGCCAGCTCAGCCTGAAAGAAGAGCTTGGTTGGGCAACACTCCACGTTACACGAACACTGTTATGAGAGAGAGCCTTCACATTCAGGGCGAGACTCTTTCCAACACCACTACTAGTAAGAGTATAGTCTAAGCCTGAATCAGGAAGATTGAGACCAGGGCGTTTCGATCGCAAGGTGAAGAGAGAGCCCTGTGGTGGGGTTTGAGTTGTCGAGCTGTCTATTCCGGCGACACCAACTCTGTCCTTGTTCCCAACTGTCCTCACCACTTCACATTCCTCCATCTCACTGCTGAGGTCTATCAAAGCCATGTCTCGCACTCTGTCAGGTCCGTGGCAAGTTAGACCCCTTACAGTAATGGTGTTACCGCGAGCAAGGAGCCAGTCATATAACCAGCGCAAGTTACATCCACAGTGCCAAGGGTTACCCCGCACAAGCAGCTGTCCCAGGTTGTCCAGGTCCTTGAACAATCCCTTCGGCAGGGTGGTCAAGTTATTTCCCGATAGGTCCAGTCTCTGCAACCTGCGCATACCATCTAAGGACCCACGTGGCATATGGGTGATGGCATTTTCCTGTAGAGACAAACGCTGCAGATGGGCGCTAGGGAGGTTGACCGGTGGAGTCTGGAGGGAGTTACGGACTAAGGATAACTCAGTTAGGTTAGAAAGGCGAGAAAATGTGTCATCAGCAATTCGCTGATTCGCCAGAAGGTTTCCATCCAGGACAAGACTTCTAAGTGAGCCGAGACCTCGAAAAGCATGAGTTGGGATTGTGGAGATTCGGTTATCATCTAAGCGGAGTTCTTCCAGAGAAGCAGGAAGTCCTGACGGGATACTGGACAAATGATTACGTGAGAGGAAGAGTAGGCGCAACCGGGGATTATCAGCGAAAGCTTTGTCCTCGATGCTCACGGTAGAAATAGAGTTGTCATCCAGGTGAAGTTTCTCTAACAGGGGCATTCGAGCCAATGCACTCTGTGGAATGGTGCGAATGTTATTGTCCTGGAGATGCAGTTCACGCACAGATGGTGGCAAGTGCATTGGGAATTCATCTAGTTCATTATCATAGAGGTAGACTACACGGACAGAGAGCTGGTGCTCCAAAGAGGTGGGTAAGCCTGGATTGTTTATGTGGTTGTTCTGAAGGTAAAGGACAGACGCAGTAGGAGGCAGTGATGGAATTGAGTTTAGGCCACGATCGTTGCAGTAGATAAAATCCTCATCGCACCTGCATACAGACGGGCAAACCATGTCCCTGTCTCCAATGTACCCTTGTATCGTAGCTGCAGTGAACTGAAGCGTGCCAGCGTGTAGCGTCAAGTAAAGAAAGAGTAGAACCAGCCGAGTCCAGAGTCTCGTCACGTTTGCCGACGCCATTGTAGTAATCTGGAGCTCAGTGTGTTCTTTCACGTCTATTGTTGATCTTCAAATCCTCCGTTGAAGCCTGAGTCCTGTGACCTCCACCCTGAACAGAGAAGAAACACCGGTGAGTTAAATGATTTAAATATTAGCCACATACACAAACACAACTTAGGCTAACTCTGCAAATCATTTTTTGTGTCTTTTACATGTTGGTTCGACATGATAAGTCATTTCCTCATTGTATGCAGTATTTACTAGTATTTTACTATACACACTTCATTGGCTATAAAGTCCTTTCCTTGTTTTTTTCCCTCAATGTAGCTGCACAACGTTAACAGAACTATAACGTGAATGTTGAGCACCTATAAAATGTTGAGCTTCAAAAATCACAGCTAAACTGGTAAACTTCCAACCTTTTTCTGTTCATTCTTAGCCAGACGAGCAAATACGCTAGTGACGCAAGCAGCAATTTTGTCGAACTTGCAACATGCACCATAAATGTTATGTCTAAGTTTGGCCTTTGCTGTAATTAATGTTTGAAGCAGAATTAATATTTAGATTCATGCAACTTTGGTAATTACAGACCCAAGGCCACATCTGGTATTAAACCTTGTGGATGTGAATGTGGATATGCCTTGAGAACACTCTTCACATATAAAATATGAAATAGCTCTCGAGAGGCTCTATAACTCCATTAGGAGTTGCCAGCAGATGGTTACATTAGTCAAACAGGGATGAAAATACTCTTCATTATAGATAAGGAACAACACGTCTTAGCTCAGAGCCACCGTTCGATGCTTATCAGGCGTCGGGGAAGCACAAGTCTAATTTAGCCAATTTAGCTATATCATTTTAAGGTGGAATGACTAGTAAGAATAATATATGCAGTAGAACACATATAAGAATTATGTCTTTTCCTGTCCAATGGGAGGGCCAGCGTGCTCAAGCCATAAGGTGAGTCAGCGATTGCAATTTGTTGTTCCAATCCCAGATATATTAACTTGCGCTGTAACAGTAAGGACAGTAAACATGTCAGAGATTCAAATAAATAAATAACTGGTAACACTGTCAGCAACAACTGACAAAACTCATCACAGTCTACAATAACCCGAGCCATTAGCCCCCAACATAAGCAAATGTAGTCTGGCTGTTGCTATTGATTTTCTCACAGATCACAAAGTGATCTGCCATAGTCAGTTGGCTGAAATGCATATGATATGGACCCCCCCAGGAGTGTAAGCGAGATAGGATAATAATTAACCAAATGAATGACACCTCTGCCGGGAGTTGACATTGTTAAATTTGCACACGTTAATTACTATGGATTTATTCTTGTTGTTGATGTACTAAAACGTGAGCGGAGCACAGGAAACGTTACTTTCATTTCCCTCGTTAGTTTGACAGGTGATCGGTATGTAATGTGTGTCTAATATTTCAAAAACTACTTAACCCTTTGATGCATGACCCATTAGTTAAAAAAATGTTAGTAAAAAGTGTTTTTAGACATAAAAATAAGAACTGATTTGGTTCTGTTTTTATACACCAAATTTTCTTTTTGAATGTTGACACAATTATTCTGCAGTTGCATAGGCTGACCACTGTATGGCAGTGTTGGGTGATTCTCAGGCGTCCACTGTAGAGGCTTATATGCAACACTGCCATGAAAAACCTATTCTTATCATAGAAAATGACATTTTCATAGCTGTCCACTGTAGTGACCGTCATGCATGAAAGGGTTAAGCAAACGGAAAAAGGCGAAATACTAAAGAGTTGGAGGGTTTGTAACGTGGATGTGACCGTTCGTCAAATAAAGTCCTTGTTTGTTTGCATTACTGCTCTCATTTTCTCTTCTCTCTTAGAGACTCTCCCATGCCTCCTGTGTCCTTCTACATTCATACGTCTACAAAAGGTCTTGTGCATCACAGGGCTTCTATAATTGCTTCTATAGTAAATATAAGAATTTGCTGACTTCAAACTTTGTAAATCGTCTACTTACTTAACAGTCTGGTCTACCGCTGCCGTAACTGGTAAGTGTAATGTTGTTTAATCAGTCTAAAAGGGATACTGAGCAAACACAGTATCCACATAAAGACGCATTTAAACATAAATAAGAACGGAATGAACTGAGAAAAGGGGGAAATGTGGAAAAGCAGTTATTTGAATTTGTGTTTGAAGGCATCTATGTTCTACTGTATAACGTAGATGCGTTAATGTCACTTTGTTAAAGGAGGTCAGATGATAGCCATCAGGGTCACATCCAGTGGACCCTCAGGCAAGGTCCTTAATAGGCATTAGCGGACCTCATGCGTGAGTGGATTTGCAACTAACAGGGTCATACTTGGATGATGCCTAGATCCAAGTCAGGGAACCAGAAGAACAGAAATGGGACATTTCTGTTCTTCTGGGTCAAATGGAACATTTATGTTGTCTCTATGTCCTCATTCAGTACGCAGTGCCAAAATAGTACCTTGTCGTAGCACCTCACATGCATCATCCACTTTGGGGAGGTATCCTTTTTAAGTGACAGTGATTTATTTACAGCCTTGGAAATATGCTGCTGTACGGATTTTGTGTGTATGAGGCTAACTAGTGCTGAGAGAATGGTTGACTTTTGAATCCCCGAAGCCTTGACAGTGAGTCTACAATACTGCAGCATTTGGGTCGAGAGCTAAAAAAAAAAGAAAAAAAAAAAAGATTTATATGTTGTGAGGTTACAGTTACAAATCCGTGCAAACGGCTATTTCTGGATATCGGGCCTTAGGATGGGTTATTTAAATACATAAATATCATACATAAATGTCTGCTTTATAAACACAGACGTCCCCGTCCATTCAAGGTTGAATTGCAGACATCAACCCAGACATGCGCGATCTGCTGTGCTGTATATCGTTACAGTCTACATTTCCAGTCTGTCAAGCACGGTGGGTTCATATGTAAGGCAGACAATCAGCCGCCTTAGGCAAGATGCAGTACACAAGACAACCCCCAGTCTAATACTGGATCAATTCACGTGGAAGAAAAAAAAAAAAAGAAGGGGGAGGGTGAGTAACACCAAGCGGCTTAGAGCATGACCCTTGAACTACAGATAGAACATACTAATCTGAAATGGCTTTTTGCTGACTGAATGATGTATTAGTAAATCTATCTTGATACTAGTACTAAACTAGTAGTACTAGTATCAAGTAACTAAACTAAAATGTAGATTTTAGATTCTGCAGATTTTTTTTTATCTTGGTGTTAATCCAAATTTAAATTGGCCATCGGATCATTGTTTAAGCCGCAGGGTTCAAAGCGTGTGAAAAAAAAGCAGCTTATAGTAGCGCCTTATAGTGCGGAAATTACGGTATATATATATTTCAAATCGAATGTCATATTTCAAAAAAACTCCCTGATCTACGGCCACTTACAGCAATTATCTAAGAATCACAATCGGCCTTATTGGCTGAGTATGCACCCACAAAAGGAATTTTTTTTTTTTTTTTTTTACACCTTAAGGCTTTAACAGAATAGAGGAAGCCAAAAATAGAATAAACGACCAGGACTGCACAGAGAAATTGCATGAATGGCATAAATATGTATCAGTAATTAACAAGGAGGAGGAAAATACCCCTAAAGAGAGAGAGAGACTGGGTTGAACTTTTTTAAGGGTGCAAAATCCAATAACTGCACTTAAACCAGTTAACACAAACATTCTTGTGTTGCTTTCACCATATCTACAATAAAGCGCTCACTGTAGACATATGCTGTATCTCACAGCTTCATCCACATACATATTCTATTAAATGCTTAATACATCCTCTAACTAGGGCAATTTATGGTTCCGTCGCCATCTCCCACAAATTTATTTATTTTTGATCTATCAATCAATCAATCAATCAATCTATCTACCTACCTACCTATCTACCTACCTACCTATCTAGCTAGCTATCTACCTACCTACCTATCTATCTATCTACCTACCTATCTATCCATCTATCTATCTATCGAAAACAACCATGGCAACTACTCAGCGAGCGGAGAAGACAACATCTATCTAGCTCCCTACCTATCTATCTAGCTCCCTACCTATCTATCTAGCTCCCTACCTATCTATCTAGCTCCCTACCTATCTATCTAGCTCCCTACCTATCTATCTAGCTCCCTACCTATCTATCTAGCTACCTACCTATCTATCTAGCTACCTACCTAGCTACCTACCTACCTACCTACCTATCTAGCTAGCTATCTACCTACCTACCTATCTACCTACCTACCTATCTACCTACCTACCTATCTACCTACCTACCTATCTACCTGTCAACCTATCTATCTACCTACCTACCTATCTACCTACCTACCTATCTAGCTAGCTATCTACCTACCTACCTATCTACCTACCTATCTATCTAGCTACCTACCTATCTATCTAGCTACCTACCTATCTATCTACCTACCTATCTATCCATCTATCTATCTATCGAAAACAACCATGGCAACTACTCAGCGAGCGGAGAAGACAAATACGTTGTCGCACATGCTACATGCGGAAGACGGCTTTGTTTACATTCATTGCTTGTATGTACACACATTGTTTTTTTTTGTGAACTTTTTGCCCTTCATTATGGTCCACAGGTATGTCCTAGATTATGTTATGAGTTACCACTCTAGTGTAGGTGAGTGACATAGGTAATTATAATGGCAAAAATCGAGTTACGCCGCACTGTAGGACTGGAACTCCGACATAAGTCGAGGACACCCTGTATAGTGCCCCTTTCGGTTAACATGGAATGCTGAATTGCTCATCAAATATATACAATGGGGGAAATAAGTATTGAACGCATTAACTTTTTTGTCATTACATTTATTTCCAAAGATGCAATTCATGTGACATTTCTTCCAGACACTGGTATTAACTCAAATAATCCACACATTAAAAGAAATCACAACATTCAAGTCCATATATAATGAATATGTGGAATTAAGTGCAATAACACAGGAAAAAAGTATTGAACACACTATCTGAGACTCGTTTAATACTTTGTGGAGAAGCCTTTGTTTGCAATGACAGCTTCCAGACGCTTCTTGTATGTATTAACTAATCGCCCACACTGCTCAGGTGTGATT